GTAATAATAACAATAATAATAATAATAACAATAATAACAATAATAACAATAATAATAATAATAATAATAATAATAGTCGATCTTGAATAAAATATATTGCTTCAATAATTAAAGCGTATCAAGCGAAAACAATTTCAAAATTTTCCTCGCGAAATTTCAGCGGAAGAATGATAAAAAAAAAATGATAGAGGGAGGGGGAGGTGAAGGAAAGTCGGGAGAAGAAAGGTGGAAAGGATCGGTCGTAAACCCGGATCCGAAAAAAAAAAAAAAACAACCGTTAAATAAACGCGAGTTTGCTCGTAAAACCGCGTAACATCCTCCATCTTTCTGCAAACGCGCGCGCAATTATCGGGCGATTACAAGAGTCGTAAAAGGGAGGGGGAAGAGGTTTTTCAAATTTTCCGCGGCGAGTCCCTGTTACAATACCCGCAGCCAGCCAAGCATTACTGGTGGCGTATGCAGAAAAGTAGCATGAAGAGAAGACAACGAGAAGTGCGGTTGAATGGCGTGCATCGCGTATCGCCGCACTTCCTGGGATAAGCGCGGTTTTTTTCTTTTTTTTTTTTTTTTTTTTTTCGGTGGAATAAAATGCAACCCGGGCGCACCCCAACGGTGTTTTTTTCAAGGAAAAAAAATGCAGCGGGGGCGCCCCCGCTGCATTTTTTTTCCTTGAAAAAAACACCGTTGGGGTGCGCCCGGGTTGCATTTTATTCCACCGAAAAAAAAAAAACAACCGTTAAATAAACGCGAGTTTGCTCGTAAAACCGCGTAACATCCTCCATCTTTCTGCAAACGCGCGCGCAATTATCCGGCGATTACAAGAGTCGTAAAAGGGAGGGGGAAGAGGTCTTTCAAATTTTCCGCGGCGAGTCCCTGTTACAATACCCGCAGCCAGCCCAGCCTTACTGGTGGCGTATGCAGACAAGTAGCATGAAGAGAAGACAACGAGAAGTGCGGTTGAATGGCCTGCATCGCGTATCGCCGCGCTTCCTGGGATAAGCGCGGATTTTTTCTTTTTTTTTTTTTTTTTTTTTTTTTACGATGGAATAAAATGCAAGCGGCGCGCATCCGACCGATGTTTTTTTCAGAGAAACGCGACGAGAAGAGGACGAGAAGAGGAGGGGGGAAGAAGGGAAAAGGATTGACTTCCTTGTGGCAAAGAAGAAGCTTGGGATAGAGTCGAACGTGATGGTATCGGTTATATTACTTCCACTTTTAACGAACCTTGTACAATGGGAAGAAAGAAAAGAAGAGCAATTTCGTGTATCCGTACGGATCTATATATATAGAGAAAGATATGGAGCGCAAAGGTTTCTGTACAATAAATATAATAATAAAATTTTGACGATTTATTATTCGTAAAATCAAATATAATATTACGAGGATCAAAATACAAGCAATTGTTTAGAGTTATTTTTCTACGTGTGCTCATTAAAGTGAAGTTTAATCTATTCTATGATTTTTAAAGGAAGATAAGTATAATAAACGTGTTTTTGTAGTATATTAATGGAGAATTGTAATGGAATTTCATTGGTAGAAGGAAACGTCTATTTTTCACACGCATTTTTCTTTCTACCACGATATTTCTCACGTGTACTAATCCAAAACGACGATCTGCATCTAAACCTCGATATACCAGCGTAGCTATAAAATTCTAACGTATGATATAAATATTTTTTTATTTCTCGTAATATAGACTAATCATGATTTTTAACATAAGTTTAATTTATAAATATAATTTTGTATATTAATATTACATCAAAATAATTAATAATTTCGAAAATATTTCCTTTCATAAAATGAAAATAATTTTAAATATTCAACAAATTATAGTTCTTCCACCATTACATGGTGTCAGGATCGTCAACAAAGAGAAGTGTGAAGTGGGGATAAATGGTCCTAGGCGAAGGACCCCCTCTTGCCCCTGTGCCGTCCCGCGAGTCTTCTTTCGAACCAGTGAACGCGCAATGTCCATCGTGTCAATCGTGAAGCGTGTTCGTGCAACGAAAGAAAGAATTTACCGAGAAAAAAATAACAGAATCAATCCTTATATATTTGTATCCTCTCCTCTGTTCGTTCATTTTCGCAAAATGAACTCTGTTCACAATTCTCGCATTGTCCGGTTTAATCTATCGTTAAATACCTAACCTATAATTTCTAATAACTTCGAATCGAGGTACATCGTTGCGCGCGATTATTTGGCATGATAGTATCCCAGCAGTTGGATAGATGGAGCGGTGGTGATTCAAAGTCAGTTAATAGGGAATTCTGTCGGACCGTTATACGGCCATTTCTGACGACTACTCGCGTAATTGGTATTCGATTACCAGTGCGATTCACGAATCGACGATTCTCGCTTCGATCATTCGAATTGTGGGCGACAATTCGAAATCGAATTTTTTATTTCGAAAACGTGATACCGTAATGTTATTTCCAATAATTTAATTTTCTAAAAATAATGTAAATTTTAATCGCGTGTGCTACGTTGTTGCAATATATATATAAAGATGAAAGATATAAATTTTGGAATAATTATACGTGTAAAATAACGAGATTAATATACATAAAGACGAAGAAAAAGTGCACAGTATTATCTTGCGATCGTTAGAAAATTGTTATTGTACGTATTGCATGACTCGTATCGATTACCTGCACACCTGTGTATAATCAACGAAAAAAATATGTATACCACGATTATGAAATTAGTCGACGAAAATATAGGAACATGTTTAATCAAAAAATAAATTTCAACTTTTTTGATCAACACTTTTCATAAGAATGGTGGCTAGATATCACTGTTGGAATATTCAATGTAAAATATAAACGTAATAAAAATAATAAATTCAACAACAATTTATTTCAACAGAGTTATGCTACATTGGACAGGATTATTAATCCTGTGAGAAAAAATCGGTCATTCGGCTCAAACAACTTCATTCCTCGTCAAAGAATAATATACATAAATAATTGCAACGAAAATAAAATCTTCAGAATTATTTTTGCTTCGAAGAGAAACTTAAAAAACTACTAACCTTTCACAAAAATAAGTCAAAGCAAACATTATTTCATAACCTATTTCCATAATCTCCTTAACCTAACCTAAAATCGTTAACAAATCCGGCCAAATAAAAATTAAACAACCATCGTAAATTTCTATCGAGAGATAATAAAATTAAAAACAATTAAAAAACGATTAAATACAAAAAAGATAAAAAGAAAAAAAAACGAATAAGTTACGATGATTTAAATGGCTTCGAACGACGCGAGAAAAAAAGAAACGAGGAAGGAGAGGGGTGGAAAGAGACGGGTGAAAAATGATGGAAGCGAAAACTTTTATCTCGCAGGATCGAAGAGAGGATGATTCGTGCACGCAGGTTGGCGACCTGTAATTCGTAACGCGGCATCGGGGAGACCGTTTCCGTAATCCCTGTGAAGCTGGTGAAACGCGACCCCTGGGTCCGATTTTTGCTCGTTGGTTCGAGGCCGGAATGCAAAACGCGTCACCCCCTCCCCCTATGTCGATACGAATCGACGAATCGAGGTTAACCGTGCGCGATCAAGATCGGGACCATTCATGCAAATTAAAATGTTTCCTGGTGGAAAACACGGTGGAACGGGTGGGTTGGATTTTGAAATTTTTTCGTTTTGTTTAGAAGTCGTAAATTTAAATTTTGGTATTCGAAGAGCGATGGAAAAATCAAAATCAAAATTGCAATAACGTGGACGAGGTAAGTAAATTGTTCCTTGATACATTTGAAAATTAGGAAGGGATGTATAAGCGGTGTAAATCATATGGAAAAATTTAATTGGAAATTAATGTAAAAAGGAATATAATTCTCTCTCTACTGTATTTTTATTTTCTCTGATTTCAACATTGTATTGGATTTAATCTTAATTAATATAAGTTTCGATATATATTTCAAGTTTAGAATTACTAGAAAAATTATTAAAATTCAAAAATTGAATATCGTTAAAAACTTTGATTATAGACGCGACAGATGAAAAGATCAAAAAAGTAACATAGATTTTCTTTTTCGTGTTTTAAATTTTCATATATCAGTGTATCTAACTTTTAGTTTTAATTCTATTTGGAAAATAGAAAATTCGTTTTCCTGGAAATTATTCTTTATTTCTATTTTAAATACTCATTTATTTTTCCCACTTTCAAAACACGAATTCCCATATCGTATTAAATCAATGCCTTGTCACGCGTGTATACCTGGTTCCGTATTTTTCCTTATTTCACACGAAGTCTCTATCGGTCGCAATTCACCGTAGATCGCACCTATTAATCTCCCTTCGAGCTATCAATTGCCCAACCCAAAGGTACACTTCAAAATATCAAGTGTCGGAAACAGTTTTCGCTCTGAAATTCAATCCTCGTTCTTTGGCGTCCTTTGATATACGTAGACACGCGTAGTATAGTACAGGAAATAAAATGTAAGTCGAATTACAATATTTATTTGTTATATCTTTTTTAAATTTGTAGAATATAATACCAAAACAATATAATCCTGAACTTGGATTCTCAATTCCTCTTCTTCTTTCACTATCTGTCATTTTTTTATAATTATTATAAAAAATGAAATAAAATTAAAATTTGCGTCTAATAGTCAAATATTCATGGCTGATTGCAAAGTTACAACTGATAAATATCGTAATCGACGAACGTGATTTAATTATGATATTTTAAAAAAGAAAGCCAGCCAGAAGGACCGTTTCAATTCAACGGTCCATAATAGTCGTACAAGGTACGAGGGTAACGAGTACATATGTACGTCAATTAAAACCGACGTACACACAAGGGGCCAGCTGCGGTGACTTACCTCGAATGCAGGGCACAGCTACGCTGTACTGTGGGGAAACTCGAGGTGGGAGGCGGAGGTGGAGTGCAATATGCCGGTGGTAATGGTGGATCATGTCTGTGAAGATGGTTATGCCGGTGACTGTGAGAGTAACTCAGAGAACCTCTCAGACTGCCGGGCAGATGGCGATGCGGCGTTGACTGATCACTGAAAACACAACGAAATAAAATGTTTTAAAACTCTTTTTTACTTTCTTTGGTTTAAATTTTAGCAAAACAATGTCAAAACATTAGCTTCATATGTCAAGATATATTATGTTTTACAAGATCATTGTCTTAGAGATTGTAAAGAGAATATAATGTCTATATTTTTTTAAATTGAAAATTAAGATATATCGTAATTTTGAAAGAAAAACGATGTGTTCGAAATTGATATTTCGTATCTCGTTTGAACACGCGCCAAGAGCAAATGTAGAACAAAGACAGTAAATAATAGAAGAAGGACAGAGATATGATAAAAATATTGAAATCAACGCCATCTTCAGTGTGCCGCAAATGAAACACGTAAATAAAGGACAGAAAATAGAGAAAGAAAGATAGAGGATAAGAATTGACTATTACCGCCATCTCTTGAGTGTTAAAAGATCTTTTGTGTTTTGACAAAACAAATCGTGTTTTTTTTAAACAATCGACAGATGGCGCTAATCTTCAATTCTTGTTCTACTTTATCCTGCCATTCAAAACATGTTTTTGATAGTCAAGAGATGGCGCTCCATTCCTATTTTATCTCTATTCTGTTATTTACATGTTTCATTTACGGCACCTAGAGATGGCGCCAATTCCCTAATATTTTATCTTATTTCTATCTTTTTCACTTTATCGTGATCTATAAATACTCTGATGCGATATTTGATTAAAAATTTAAAAAAAATAAATTTTTAAATAAAATAAATATAACATTTTTAATAAAAAAAAAACATTTGCGACTTTTATATGAATTTAATTATTCATTTTTTTACATTTTATTTAAATTTTCATGAAATCATCAATACTTTATTATTTGTATTGCACATATAGATATTATTTTATTATTATTCTATTCTTTTCTATTTTCTGCAATAAAATTTTTGTGAGCATTATTTTTAAATCTAAAAAAATTAAATTCCAAGTGTATGAAACATGATAAAATCAATGATAAATTCTAAAAGTTCCCAAGAAACTTCGTTTATAAATCTTATCATAGATTATAGATTATACGTACTCCGATTACGATATCCGAAGTGCTTTATCAGTACTTTACTTAAATGTAAATAAATTTAAAATATTATTTATTTATATAATTATTTTTATATAATTATATATTCGTCATTTTCATCATTTATCACGATTTTTCAATTCGAAAAACCATTATTAATTATTAATTATCTTTAAATAATAATTGATCGACTTTTTAAAAATTAATTTCGAAATATCGAACATAAATATTCGATATTAATTATTTTAAATAAAAGTAATTATTTCAAAAATTTTTTTAAAATAAAATGTTTCATTTTTGTGTTGCATATATCTTGAAAAAATAATTTTGAATAAATTAAAATATTTTTTTGCTTTCCAATTTCAAGTAAATCTATTGAACTTCACACCTGCTAAATAACAATATGGACAAAGGAACTCTTGTTACATCCGGTTACGGCACAGTAACCCACCTGAAATCCCCACGACATGTTAATTCCCACGAAACAACGTTACAGATAACGTGCCAAGACCAGGACAAAAAAATACATATGTAGTGTGTGTCTTGTCGATTCAATGATAACCACTTCCAGTGTGATCCAAAAATAACGAAACAACATTATTTTTTTCTATTCTATATTTAACTATGTTGGAAAAATAGAATGTATGTTCGTTGTGAAATATCAATTTCAATTAGAGTCAGAGATCAACTCAAAATAATATGAAATAATTTTCCTTAAGTTTTCTCTATTTTTTTTTTTTTTTTGTGGGGGGGTTTAAAAAAATTTATTAAAAAAAAAAATAAAAAAATTTTTCCTTAATTTTTTTTTTTTTTTGTGGGGGGGTTTAAAAAAATTTATTAAAAAAAAAAATAAAAAAATTTTTCCTTAATTTTTTTTTTTTTTTGTGGGGGGGTTTAAAAAAATTTATTAAAAAAAAAAATAAAAAAATTTTTCCTTAATTTTTTTTTTTTTTTGTGGGGGGGTTTAAAAAAATTTATTAAAAAAAAAAATAAAAAAATTTTTCCTTAATTTTTTTTTTTTTTTGTGGGGGGGTTTAAAAAAATTTATTAAAAAAAAAAATAAAAAAATTTTCCTTAAGTTTTCTCTATTTTTTTTTTTTTTTTTTTTATCATTTCGTTTAATTACATATTTCTACACGCACCAGCAGAACATAAAAAAAATTTCAAACACATCCACGTTATCTCAATTTCATGATTATAGCCATTATACATATCGGTGTAAAACAGCCATTAAAACTTTCTATTGCAAAAGTATAGGATAAAACAAATATAATCGTATCGTAGCAAAAACTCGCATTATGAGCTCATTCATTTTATTCATTAATATTCTCATATCATATCATTCATATCTTCATTAATATTACACAATAATAATAATAAGCATGAAATATGTATGAATACATATAAATATATATAAATGTAATGAAAAATGTATATTAGATTGTACATAATCTAACGATTTAACTTCAATTTTATTTACCATTACTCTGTAAAAATTAACATGAAACCGGAAATGTTGAAAGGGCTCATCGAGACCTCTTTGGGAACAGTCCCTCTTTTATCTGACGTCAAACACTTTAACCGACACGATATCGTGTCGACGGCAGATAAAAAAGAGTAAGTATACACAGAAAGCCGCCAGAGGGACAGTTAAACTGGAAGTTACATCTGCTCGACGCAAAGTGGCAGTATCGCATCTTTGTATGTACTTTTCAAAAAGTAAACGAAGAACGCGATAAATTACGAATTCATTCGAGCCGCTTTTTAACGCGAAATAATTTCTATAAAAAGGAAAGTGGCAAACTAGTATTTGAAATAGCGTGGTTACTAAATCGACTTGGAATGCATGTGTAGTGTATACTTAGAGGTTAGCTACGACGTATGAGAAACTAAATTTCCGGGATATAAATTATTCGAGCTTAACTTCCGGATCCTTGAAGTACAGTTCAAAGAGTTTCCATTCCCAATTAAAGAAGATATATATGTATAAAATTTATAAATATTATAAACTAAATAAAAAAATTGCTAAACTATACAGAAGTTTTTAAATTTTAAATTTTTAAAATTGTAATTTTAGAATAATATTAATATATTAATAAATGATATTTTTGATAATATCAATCATTTGAACGAAATTTTGTTTGAACTGTTAACTGAAAGTTATTATTCTCTATAAGCAAACATTCCAAGCGTTACATAAGCTACCGAACATTTGTGTTTCGAGTACATCAACGAAGGTTATGTGTCGTATAACTTCCTTCAACGGCGTACAAAATTAACTAAATATTAACTTTCAATTACTATCTTATTATTTAAAATTTCATTTGTTTCTCTATTTAATTCATCAAAAAAAAAAAAAAGAAAAGAAAAAAATTAAGACGACGAATATTTTCAACCATAAAAAAATCAAATATTAAATGTTGTATATTGAAAACTAACTAGGGTTCGTGTTAAACGTGACTTTTTAAAAAGAAAAGAAAAATGAAGATTAAAAATATAGTCAAGATGTATACTTGACCAAGTTATTAAAAAAAGCCATTTTCCACGTGTGATGGATCGAATTAACTACCACGGTTTTTTATCGATATTGCTGCAGAACGATATTAATTATATAAACGAGGAGGTAAACTTGCACGAGTCAAGCTTCCGGTCGCACGATCCTGCTTAATGAGAACCCAAGACGTCGAAAAAAAAATGAAACACTGTAATCCTATTTCGCCTGGAAAACGTCATCATTACGGTATCGTGTCACGATGAAAGTGTTAAAGTAGAACGTAAATAGTTATTCGCCAGAGAACAGATGGAAAGATAAATTCGATTCTCGTTTATCGTTTTCGATAGAAATCGAAACCATTAAATTTTCTAGTGGTTTCGAGAAATGTTAGTCCTGAATATTTAAAAAGCGTGACACACGCAAAGAGTTTAACTTTGAATGATTAATTATTTTAAAGTAATGATCGAACAATGATCAATCTCAAGACATGTAAGAAATTAACAAAGGAGAGAGTTTTTTGTAATAATGATATGCAAAATATTGTTCAAGGTCAATAATATTTTGAATATTATCACATTTTATATCTTAATGAATCATGGCATTTAATTAAATGTTTTTTTTTTAATTTTACTTTATACCAATTTTTATTTCATAAGCGTAAATAAGTAAAGAAAATTTTTGTATAAATAAACAACTTTAATATTTTCAATTACGTAAACACGAGAAAAAATATATTTAAAAAAAAAATGTGTGTAATGTCTCGTAACGAAATTATTAAATCAGCTTGACGAGATTACGATTTTTTTATTAAACAATTTTTTTAAATAAAATGTATTTGAAATTATATTCAAAAGACTGAATATAACATCTATAGATCGCATGTTTCTGAAATAAAAAGTAATACTATGGAGCGTTGTAACTAAACATTAATCATAATTTGCGAGTAATAAAAAACAATGTCATTGTATAAAAGAATAGTGAAAATTTTTGGAAAAAGCAATCTTCATTCGAAGAAAATTTTTGACGAAAACGAAAAAATAGAAAACAAAGAAATAGATCTTTCACAAGATAGAAAATAAGAAACTTTAAAATTTTAGTTAAAAAGTTTAATAAGAGAATTCTTGTAATCATTGCGAACATAACCTCAAAACTGTAAAATGAGAACAATTTCATTAAAGATATTTCTTTAAAGTAGTCCAAACAATAACGAATTTTTTATTTAATAAGTAACGAAAGTTTTAAAAGAAAAATCATAACACAGAAAAAATTATTCTTGAAGAGTATTCGTTGCAACTACTGCATCGAAATATTTCAATAAAGCGTATTTTTATTGACGTCATTTTTTATCGAACCTAACCTAATTTCGCTCACGGAAAAAAATTAAAAGACCTTTCACCTCTCCTTACAAATGTAAATACAACACATTTTATAATTATAAGCCATTTATAAGTCATTCTTTAAATTAATATTTTTCATATGAATATTTTTTTATTAACATAGCATCGAATTGCTAATTATCTCCATACGCGTTACTTTAACCACTAGCCGTAATAAATTTGAAATTTATAAATCAATTTTAATAGCGACCATTCAAGAACAAGTTTCATTAACGCATATGAAAAAATATTCATTCTATTATGATGAATGCTTTCGAGCCAACTTGTACATTCATATGTTTTCATAAAAGCAGAAATTTTTAAACATATGCACGTATGTTCGTTTTACTATAAATTTTCCCATAAAGTTTTACATTTCAGTTTTTCAGAAATCATGTAATAAAGGAAATAATTTTATTTTTCATTATTTTATCAACTTATTTCTTTATCATTATTTAAGAATTTATCCAACATTATTAGACTATGACAATACTTGAGAATAATTTGTCAAATTATATAATTTTAAAATATATATATGAATTTGCACTATAATTGTTTTCTTAATTTATTCTAAATCAATTTTGATTTTATTTTTTTCTTTTTTTGATTTATTTTAAGAAGTATCACATCAAAGTTGACCCTAGAAAAGAGTTTAGAATTCTAAAAAAGAATAATATTGTCACATTATAAGTAATTTTACAATACAAATGATTAATTTTAATTTGTATTTTATCTTATATACAATGAGTATTTATTATTTATTATTGGAATAAAAATATATATATATATATATACACAGGCACACATATATCTCTAAATATATTCGTTTGTGTATAAAAAAAATTAAATTCTAAAAATAAAATGGAGCATAAAGAATAAAGCAATATTAAATCGAGGGCTTAACGAATAAGCCAACTCGATAGATTAAAAGTTGCAACTCTTTATTGACAAACATACGTTATATTTCTTTTGTAAATTTAACAAGCGTTATTTTTGCACGGCCAGATCTCAATTCGTCATTTTTTTATTTAAGTTATGTTGCAAAATGTATATGTACGCAAAAACAATAAATGATAGGGTGGCAACTTCAGTTTCTTGTTAATCTCCTTGGATTACGTTTTTGTTTACAAGAGAATGTTTTCCTTTTTCTTCGAATTGTTTCATTTTAACTAATTGGAGGTTGCATTATAGTAGTATAAATATGACTAGAAAAAATGTAATTATGTTTTATAAATTTACTGGTATTAGTCAGTTATTTTTATTTGTTGTTAAAAGAAACTTAAAAATTTGCAAAATTGGAAATATAAAAATTGCAACTTTTAAAAAAAAGTTAAAAAAAATTTACCAACTAATTTTTCCATATCAGTAATCTTATACTTCACGAATTCCAATGTCGCGCTATACTCTTACTTTAATTTTAGCAATATTATTTTAAGATTGCAGTATTCGCAAGAAAATTACAGCATCTCAAGGGGTGTCGCGTCCCCCATGAAGAGAACTCAAAGTAGCTGCTAAAAAACTCAACGAAACGCCGTGGCGTTTAAGTTTAGTCAAGAAAGTTCTATACTTGACCTTAATGGCGTCAGTCCAATGCCATAAACTTCGCGGTGGTCTTAACGTTTCTCTTTTTTCGTTACATATATTCATATTCAATATCCAGCCATGAATTCCTCGAGAAATATATATATCCAATAAATATATATCCAAATAAATCAAACGTATTTTAGGAAATTGATTTCAAAAACACATCTATAAAGGAATACAAAACTTAAAGTTACGTTTGCATTGAATTTTGGATTTGCTGCAACATTAGAACTGCATTTTACATCGTAAAGACGTACCGTTGAAAGGAAAAAATTCGAAGAAAGGATATTGTCAAAGAATTTCAATGAAGACAAAAAATTGCACTTTTAAATGAAATAATTTAAAAAAAATAAAATTATTTATATTAATAAAATAATTAAATTCTACAAGAATAAAAAAAAATAGAAATATTCATAATTGTATCTCAAAAAAATATAAAAACATTGAAGATTTACAAGTTCAAAAACCTACTCTGTATTCGTATATTGTAATCCAAATATAAAAGAGAAATAACAAAAGAAAGGAAGAATATTAAATGAGAAATTAATTTTCCTTATCATTAAAAATAAAAAGTTCACTTCGAATCCAAAAGTTTAAACGCATTCTCGAATAGTATAATACAATCATCTTCGATTTCTATAAAATGTTAATATTTCTAGAAGCGTCTAGAAGAAGAAAGGATATAATTATCTTATTGAGAAAGAAATTGTCAATAAAGCAATATTCTTATTAAAATAATAATAATGTTTCTGGAGGACGTGATATATTTGGAGAAATTAATCCAGAACATCAATATCGTTCAAGTAATCTGTCGATGATCGTATCGAGCATCGCAATTTCGCTAGGTCCGCCATAATCCTCAAGATCCAATCAGAATATATGCCTCGAACCATGGATGGAATGCGATCTATCGCAGCGGAAGCGCCACCACCAATTTCGCTTAGGAAACTTGACAATGCTTGGAACTCACCGGCAGTTTTAACGGTCTGGAACGAGATTTTTCGAACACTTGCTACGAAACGAATATGTTCCAAGTCAAACAATCGCGGAACGCAACATTTCTCTCTTCTGTTGCCTGGATGTACACCCTGGATGTTACCTGGATAAAGCTTCCCGGAAGGAATCCAATATTTGTGCATAGCCGGACGAAACTTGAAAAGCGTTCCAGTTGAAGCCAAATATTTTCTACTTTTGAAAATAATTTTTCATTTTTACATTCCTTTCATCGTTTACTTTCTGTACATATTACGATGGCTACAATTCTATTTATAATAAGATTCTTTGATATCATATCGATTTTGTGTAATTAATTCTAGATTGTCTCAAAGTTTAATTTATTGGTTGATATTATAAATAATAAAATGTTATAATAATAATTTCTTAGATTTATGTTAGTATAATAGAAGATAAAAAAATTAACTAATCTATAGATTAAACAGATTACAGATAATACTAGATAAATTTGAGAAAACAATGAAAAAGAAGTGTATCGTAATATCAGAGTCACATGAAAGTTGTCCGGATAAAAATGTTCAACTGAAGTATCGATATGTAGTTATTGAAAGCTTAACCTCATTGTTTTTGCAATAAACGTTAACTCATATCAGACTCGAAAATATAATCTAGTTTGAAATAACGTAGAAAAACTTTCTTTTCGAAATACACATAAACGTAAAATAATTGAAAAGTTTTATAAATAAAAACTTTAAATTTGATATTATACATAATAATGGATTTAAAATTAAAAAAAAATTATTAAAATGCGCTTTGCAAAAAATAAAGGAAGTTTTTGTGATTACTTCGTTAAATGTTTGTTCGAGTTTATTAGTTAATAGTTCACTAATTATTGTTATTTTGAATTCAGATTTTAGTGACGTGTTAACAACAGTTTATAACAATGGAAAGTTAATTATTTTCTTTTGCGTGACCCACTAAAGTAAATATTTCAATTGAAAAACAATTACTACAGAAATGAATTTGCTACATATGATAATTGAAAAAATAAATTAATTAGAAATAAATTATCCCTACATCGAAAATTATTTATTTTTAAAGAATATATTTAAATATTTTATCTACGAATATTTTTTTTTAAATATTATAAACAAATATATCAATTTTATAAAATATTATTGCTTGAAAAAGTTTGTTCTCTGATTAATATTTCTTTCGATTATATAGCAATAAATTTAATAGCAAATTATATATAATATATATTAAAATAATCAAATAAATAAAATAATCAATATCAAAATAAAATAAATAAAATACATGCAAAAAAAGAAACTATACATTATTTCCAATCGAACTAAGCAATTATAAATAAATATTATTTCCCATTCTTCTCAAAATCCCTAAAAACGGAACATAGATAATAAAAATAGAAAAATTCAATACCCACGCGTGTTATTATTTATCGAATAGTTATCACATTTGCACAAAAGAGAAAGAGAAAATTTCCAATATATTTTCAACATAATTGCGTATTCCAGAATCGAATAATCCAGGAAATAGAGAGAGTCTCCCTTCCATAATGAAATACATTGAATACTCTCGTTATACTATACGTCGAAATACACTACTATAGTATATACAACTATTGTATCCGTGGAGTAGCTTCGAATGCGTTAAACACGCCTGGGAATCCTCAGAAATGCACTCGAGCGTACCTGTCTACGTTGTTGTTCTTAAAGCTGACCATCCCGCTCTCCAAACCAGCCTCCCTCATAACCACGCACTTTTTCGCACTCTTTATGCACTGACACTACACGCAACAACTACCGAACGCGATATCGAGCATAAGGATCCATGCACATAAAGAAACATCATCACGTGTAACGAAGAAGTGACAAACAACGAGAAACGTGTTCTTCGCACCGCGTTTCCGGACCGACTGAAGAGGAGCCACGCTTCACGGCCGATCTACCCCCACCAATCTTCCCAGTCGACGCTCCCCACCACCGGTGTCTAATTGCAGCGTTCCGGCAACGGAAGGCCAGCTGACGTTCTTTTGTTGTCATTCTCGACTCATCTCTTATGACGACCGATCACGATTGGATACCACTACAAGATGGGTTGTGGAGGGTCACGTTTACTTGCTTCTCCTGACCACCCTGTGTGTTGGATGCGTGAGATATAAGACAAGAAAAAGTCACTGGAACGGAAGGATGAGGTTAAGTTTAGGTTATTGGATTTTGGAACATTCGAAAGTATAGAAAGAAAATAATATAATTTATATATAATATTAATAATCCTTTCGTTAAGTACTGATAAAAGATAGTCTCAAACTAAAGAATACAAAAATATAATTTAAACAAGAATAATAAAATTTAAGTAATCTATGTTTTTTTTCCGTCTTCTGCAATTACAAGTACATTATATCTAAAAATATATGCATGCGCGAGTCGTGACGCGACTCGACTTTTTGAAAGTAACGTTAATTTTCGAACTGTTGTCGCAACTGAAGGAAACCAACAATGCTCAGATTCTGATATTACCCAGTTTGCAAGTCTGTGATTTTTACATTTCTAATGTAATATTTTCATTTAATTCGGATAAATTTTCAACTACATATTCAATATACGATTGTCTAAATAAAAAGTTTTATAGAATTTTTTTTAGATTTATTACCTATAATTCAAAATAAATCTAGTCCTATTTTTTTCATTATTAGATTTGATACAGTTCTTAATTTTCTCTTATTTTTTTAATTTTGTAAAAAGAAGAAGTTTTCTTATTAAACGGAAGTTAATGCTTTTTCTCTTGGAAATTTCATCGAAATTGTCTTTCAAGAGTTATAATAGAATTGGGACTCGATCGGTAACTCAATCGCGTTCTAACTTTCAATCTGATGTTACTTTGTTGCAAGACAAACTATATAAATTTCAACACTTTTCGATATATTTCATGATATTTTTGATAAATATTACAAATTCAATTCAATAAATTTTATCTAATTTAAAAAAATGCGTAATAGAAATTTCTCGAGAAATTATTATGCTACTTTTGAGACGGTTTACTTCTAACAGTTGATTTTACATTTGATTTAAAATTTAACGCGAATAATATCAACGTATCAAAGTATTTTACTTTTTTATCCGATGAATATTCGCGAGCATAATATGTGAAACGGAAATCCATCGTTATGAAATATTTCTAACAATAAGAAACGGATGAGTTTTAATGTATTCAGGCAAAGAGCCATTCATTCATTAATTCACGAGTACATATTGTTCCTTAGTAGTCAATTAAATTCACTTTGTGCATTTAGTTGTTATAAATGTAACTTTACATATTATTAACATATATATTAGCGAAATAAATATCATGAATGATTTTTTGTTTAAAGATTAGATCCATTTAATTTTTAAATTGCAATTTATCTACATATTATTCTTCTTTATGCATACCTAATATTTAACTTTACTTTGTGCATATATTTCGATTAAATGAAATTATTCATGTTATTCATTTAATATTATTAAAAATTTAAAATTATTATAAATCATAGAATTTTACAGAATTAATTATATGACAATATTAACGTAATAATATTTATATAGATTTTATTTATTATTGCTGAATAATGAAAATAATATAATTTATTGATATTTTTTTCAATTAATCAAAATCTCTTAACTATTAAAATTTTTTAACTAAAAATTATTCAAATAATTACTTTACTATTTTTTTTTTGAGATAATTTGATTATAAACGAAGAAGAAAGAAAGAATTTTCCTTGGAAGGAAGAATTGAAGATTTTCATAGTTTTTAGCAATCGTAATTCATAAATTCTCCAATTGTTTCACTGAAAAAGAATGGAAAGTATGGTGTAACGATGCGAGAGATGAAGTAGTGGTCTTGAAAGATGATTCATAGTTTGAACGACGTCTACCTGCATCTGGAGCACTAATAATAGATTTTCAGTAGCCGGAGGGTAGTACTCCATGAACAGCAATTCTATTTCAAGAAGGAGGTGGCTCGTTTTACAAATAAAAGGCTTCATTGAGATGTCGAGTACAATCGTTAGAGTGAAACGATCTCAATCCATAGCTCTAAGATCCTAGCCAAAGTTCCCAATATCTCTCTCCTCTTGAAAATGGAAGATTTTGCCCGATCAAAGGAAAATCATTTGTTCTTCACGCTGCATCGACGAATGGAAACATCTCGTCTTGTCTACTCTAAATATTTGTCGATTAAACGAGAAGGACTCTTTTTACATGATTCTTAAAATTTTCAGTTTGACATAAAATTATTCTTGCAATCTTTTTTTCCTTTCGTTTGTTAATTATTTTTAATGTTACATTGTTGGTTCAAAAATGTTATTTATTATTTTGGAAAAATAATGATTATCTGTCATCCAATCCATTTAGAATTGAATATGATTCAAATAACTTAAATAAATAAAATGAATCACAAAAGTGTCTACATTTTGTTAATTATAAAATTTTTGTTTCTTTTTATTTATTTTTTTTATTTTCTTTATTTTATAGAAATATGAGAACTCAAAATTAAAAGTTCTGCATATTAAAATAGATTAAAATAAATATTTCTTATTAATACTATAATAATCACTATAATTTATAAAGATATCACAAAAAAAGGAAGATATGTTATTTTTTCATCCACTGTATAATGTATACCGTTCTTCGTTCTACAGAATTTAGACGTAAATTTTAAAACATGGTGCGTTTACCCTGAATTCACAGCCATAGTATTTTAGCGGAAATTTACATCATAATTCCGAGGCTATCTACTTCACCAACTTTTGCAGCAAAACATCGTTTCCAAAACTCATTCCCTTAACTCATCTAGACATACGTAAAATATATATAAGAACCATTTCGAACAATTTGAAAAGATATCTCCATTTTCTTCATTAATGTATCTCGAAAACGAACAAATCTACTTACATTGTTATCAAGTTTGTTACCGACCGAGTTTCCTTCGAATAGATATCAAATCCATATTTCCACAGACAACAATACTCGCGTTTCCCAATAGTTACTATTAATCCTGAGTCACAATCGATTCCATCACAACTTGGTTGTTCTTCATCTTATTTGAAGGCAAAATTTGAATCAAGCAAACACGCAAATTCGAACACACATCCCTGATATTAACATTCGTTCGAAAAGATATGGAAACACGCGAAACAGTCGGTTACAGTTAATTTGGTCGAGGCAGTTCGTTAAAGAACGCCCCCTAGGCGACGAAACAAAGGTTTCGAAGCAGCAGATCGAAGTTTCGTGTCACGTCGATCCTTTCCAGGAAGAATTTCTTTTCACGAAAACTTTTCAGACTGAGAAAGAGTTCCGTCCATGTAAAATTTCGTGGAAACGTCACAGCCGTTTCAAACTCTCCTGAATAGGGTTTAACCTATTTATAGGCAGAACCGAGACGGCGCAGTTTTAACCGTTTACGGTCGTGATGTTTAGTAATGAGAAGTTGGAAGGCGAAAGTAAGATGAAACGTGGTGCGTGTACGGATCGAGGTAAATTACGGGCTCATTGTAAATTAACGGTTGATTGGATGAGAGTTTCGTGAAAGTGAAAGAGAAATCTTAGAAGCTTTCGAGTATAATGAAGAAAAATAATAAAACATTAATGTTTATTTTCGTTAGATTTGATGAGGATAATATAAAAAGATTAAATTTGATGAAAATTAACATTGTTAAATATCGAATATGTTACTAATTATTGATTACTAAAAATTTAAATTTGAATGTTTTTCGAAGAATATGTGTTTTCTTTAAGAATATATGTGTAAATTATGTTATTTTTATCTTGATATTGGTGAAGAGGTTAGAAAAGACAAAGGATACGCAAAAAATCCATCGTACATTTTAACGTGAAACAATCCACATAAATGCATCTAGAACACTAGGTAATTAGAAATTTCCCATATTTCTTTTTCCATACATTCTATATATGTCTCGTTATTGTAATTAATTCTCCGTGAAATTCTCTAATATCCCACGATTGGCGATTAACTCGTATGAAAAATATAATAGATCTTGTTCATCGATCTATATGATCAGTCTATTAATAGAAATTTTATTTTAATAGAAATTACATTAAAAAATTTAATTATTTTCTTAATGAAATAGAAATTCATGAAATGAACTAATAATTTCTCTTATAATTAGATATCGACTCGCTTAACATAATATTCATGAAGATAATTCTTCTATTATTATTGAGAATAATTTCTTTTATTTTCATGTCAATTTTTTTTGGATTATAGAAATTAATTTGAGTTATATTTTATCTAGCCAAAATGTTATTATTTTACAATATATAAAAAATAATTTCACTCATAAAAATTATTCTTCAAATCCTCTTTTGGATTACAATTAATCCAGATTAGCTTTTCGATAAAATTTGAATTTCTAGTTTCCTCTCTAAATATCTATTATTACAGACAATTTAATAATATTTCATAGGAAAAGTTGAAAGTTATTAAATCATAATGATGATATAACTCATAATGATAAAACTTTTGTAATATCATATATTCGAATATTATTAAATGTTTTCATTTTTTATTTTAAATGGGATCTACACCTATTATTCAGAAATTAAACTAGAATGTAAAAATTTTTAAAATTCTAATTGAAATCCATTACCATTCATTTCCAAATTAGATATTTTAACTACGGTATAGAAAAGTATTTCATATTCACTTTTAACTTTTGTAATTTCTTAATAAAAAAAAAAAATCTTAAATTTGGAATGGAAACATGTATAATCCAATATCGAATAATAATTTGATATTCTATATTTAATATTTGATATTCTATATTTAAATAAAAAATTATACTTGAAAATATTGACGCAAAGGTTAATGCACCAATGTCAAAAATAAAAACAGAGTGTATTTACTAGATAAAAAGACGTATAAAGAACATAAGAAACGGAATAGGAATAAAAATGGGCAACGAACGTATTTAACGCGACTCTCTTGTACTGAATGCACCTGACGATGCTTATTCGGGGATACAGGTGAACACCTCAGGTAAAAGGATCCTTTTCTTTCGATGTTCATTGTTGCGTCGTGACGATAGAATCGAGCGGAATACATATTCAGAGGGGTGCAAGTGAATAGGCACAGGTAAACGCGCCATCGTTAATTTATTTGAGAGAAAAGCGATGAGAACAAAGTTCTTTCACGTGCCAAGAAACTAATGGCCGCTTT